GGGTGTTGTGGTTGCGTGCGCATTGCTTCTCATTAACTTTCGCATACTCGCATTAATGCTCGTTTTGTATTTTGCCCGAATGTTTGTAAAAAGGTATAGTAATCGAAATAAAATTAAATTGCGATTGGAGCTTTGAGCCACCAAAGCTTCTACTAATACTATAAATTACTCGTTTGTCAAGTTTTAAACATTTCTGGGGCGTATACGTATATATGAAATTCCAACATACATAAATTTAAAATTCCTTGCATGAAGGGGTATACAAACCGAATGGTGGGCATATAGCATATTTGAAGAGGTCATCAGGAGTTTTCATAACTAATTTTGCAATTTTATCGCAATATAGATAAAAGCCAGAATCAAGATTAGGTTTATTTTCACCACTGGGGACTCGCCAATTTATACCTAAATAAATATGTTCGATTTATGTGTTTTACGAACACGAACTCAAATACTTGCAAATATTAAGAGACGCAAAGGGCCATATTAGCCATTTTAATCTCCTCTCGTTTTCAGAGAGTACATGGAGGGGTGTGGGGCTTCCACGCATCTGAAAATAACGAGCATCTGTTGTCACTTTGCCAAAAATTTGCTGAGGGCTATGCGTTTTGCATTTTACACAAATGGTTGCTGTATGCCACCATGGCTGAGAGCAATTTAATCAAATGATGTATTGCATAGTATGAAATTACGAAAAATTACATGCAAATAAATTTAGGTAGCATGTGTACTCACACATGTATATGTATGAGTCCGCCTTCACCTGGCTGACGATATCTGTGCAAAGCTGCTAACCAATTCAGCCCGTCCAACTACTGCGCCCATCAACCTGCCTTAGCTGGCTGAAATTAACTTAAACATAAACTCCGAGTCACATGCGGCTGAGCTCCACACCTGACCGCAAAGACACAATGAACAACACAGCCAACAATCAAAGCGAAGCCATGGGCAGCAACTGCGCTGGCTCAGGGGCGAGTGGGAGCGTGCCGCACCGTCAACAGCAGCAGTTGGTAGCATCATTGGTGTCAGTTCGGTGCCACGAACGAGCAGCGCATGTAAATTGTGGTTAGCCACATGATCAACTGCTGTCACATTGAGGGCACACAAATGTCAGCAATCAGAACTGGGATGAATGTCGAGAGCGAGAGAGCTCTGCTGTGCGTCGGCGATTGGAAGAGCAGCATAAAAATCAACAACACCGAGCAGATGTTGCCTCATTTGGCTTTCGATGCGGCACGTTCTGACTGCAGCTACCGGTCGTCAGTCGCCAATCACCAGACACTAGCCACCGGCCACCGCTCATCAGCAAGCTACGTAAAAGACAACATACACACACAAACAACAACTGCTCGCTTGTCGAATGTGTGGACTTTCGTGGTGGGTCGCAGTTATGATAATGATTTTGTTGTTTATGTCACACACACCCACACACACGTGGCCAGGCATTATTGGTATTGCTAATGCGCTCATGTTGATTTATGACAGTTGTGATCTAGTTGTTATTGTTATTGTTATTACAGTTATTATTATTTGCTGCAACAATGAATCCACATCAAAATGAGCGACTCATAGACAACACTGATCCCAACTACAGTTACCTGCGGACTATGACACGGCTCAACCCCGCCTATTAATTTGCACGAGGTGTATTTGTCGTAAATAGGCATCAAGCCCTGAACTATAATGTCCACCAACGAGTTATCGCAAATAGGACGAATGGAAACTGCCACCCATGCACGGTTGTGATTGAATGCTGGAAAATATATAGTTTACTTCCGTTAGATGGTACATTATGGGTGGTGTTAATCAGAATTGAAGCGATTTTGTGGTAAAAAAAAAGCATATGTTCATAATTATGTGGATACCTATGCCCGTAACGTAAAGGCAAATATGAAAATTGCGAAAACAATCGTAAGACTACCAAAAGACGAATACTCACGATTTGTAACGAGCCTGCATTGAGTAATCAACACAGAGAAATTCGCAAATACCTGGGATCGAGAACAACCCGACTTCCCAACCTCGCACATCATATTTCACAGCTAATGAAGTACTACATAGTTGACGTTGCGACAATTGTTGTGCAAACAGAAATTAAATCGTCATAAATTCATCGCACTATGCAGCAAATGGCTAACAAGTCAAAAGCCCTCAGATAAGTAACTAAGTGAGTTGCATGTCTAGCTGCAGTCTGGTAGGTGATAGCTGAAAGTTTTGTTGGCAATTTGTTTTTCCAAGAGCACGCAATCGCCGACACCGCCAGGCCAAATGATTCACTTTATCGCAATTATCGCATTTAGGTGGGTGCAAGAATGGACCCCGGCCATTGGAGTCCTTTTGAATAATACAATTTCGCAGGAAAAGAACTTGTTGGCCTAGGACTTTTAATTTTCAGTGTTCACTAATTCGTTTCTCCCTTTCTAACTTGAAGGCAGAAACAATACCACACTGATCTTCCAGAATTAAGTGACATTGATATGTGGTGACAGAAAAGAATACACAAGGGTCAGGAAACGGCAGCAATGCCACAAAAATTGCGAGCAAAAGGTCCTTCCCGTCGCAGTTTAGCTCATTTTTAAGAAAGAGGTAAACATAATAATGGGTGAGTAAATATGTCGATGTTGTTGTTTGCAGCAAGGTCATCAAATTTTAATCAAATGTCTCTTAGCTTACAGCCATCAACGTACCCGGTGCTTAACTGGTGAATTTTCCACACAAGTGTCTTTTAATTTAGTCAGTTTCTGGCGTCTTGGAAGCCTTGAAAACCTCATGAACAACAGAAAAATGCAAAGGAGGCACTAGACTGCTCGTGCATATGTCTTTGCGAAGCGGGTGACATGTTATTCGCGCGTTCAAACGCCTATGTGTGTGTGTGTGTGCCAAAGCAGAAATCTACATGTGTGTACGTGAACGAGCAATGCACATTCTCAAGTGTCAACAACGCCTGCTTGCACACACTTCAATTAGTCGGGCGAGTGTTTAACTTGTTACTCGATTAGTTAGAATAAGAATAATTAATCAATGAAATTAAAATTGTAAATTAATGAGCACACACACATAGATACACTGCACATACTCAGACGCGCCCGCCGACGCAACAGCCAGGCACAAATCGGAGTGTTTGTAATTGCGCAATCAAGTACCACATCCACCACACACAGACATACACACATTTGTATGTGTGAATTTGCATACGCCAACGTAGCAGAAATGGGCATATGCAAATGTGTGCGTGCGATGCAGCAAAAGGCGCCATCTCGCAGTGATATCTGCAGCATCTACATGCCGCTAACGCGACACTTGTATGCCGCAGCACTCGAACGATGTAGGACACGGTGCGCGCGCGCCAAAGCATGTGGCACCAACAGATAGGCGAATTCGAAGCAAGACGTGCAACGTGTATGGCAAGCGTATGCTTCTGCAGCTTGCAATATCGACAATTCCCCACAGCAATATATTTGCATGTGTGCGCACATGGGTTTAAGCATGCGTGAGTGCCACCCCACCGTAGCTAGAGCAACACTTGAGCCGTGCTCGGCGGTGTGATTGCTCGCTTGGATGCCGACTGCCAGCCTGTTTGCCATTTAATATGATAATTTATGCACGAAATAAATTCCCTTATTTTAAGGCATACCACAGGCACAGACACAGGATGCGCTGGCGCTACAGCCACACACTCAAACACACGCCACTCGAAGCCAACAGACTCGTATTACATGCACATGTGTGTCTTCTCCATACATATTCATATGGAATGTAGGATGAATTCCATTGCTTCGCGGCTCCTCGCCACTGCGTCTATCATATTTGCCACATTGAAGGTTGCTCACCGACGCACTTGACTGCTCACTTGCGCTCCTATTTACTGTTTGCTGATTCGGCTGTTCGATTGCTCGCTTACTCGGTTGTGCTGTTTCTCTGCAGCCGTCAGACGGACTTGTGGCATTGCCGGAACGGTTGGCTGTGTGTGGTTTCCGCCGCAGCATTCTCAAGCGTGGTGCACATTAAATAAGCCACCGTATTGCCACTTATTCCTCATTCTTCACACATTTCTGCGTTCGCACGTAGCAGTAATACGAGTTGATTAGAGCGGAGCAACCAAAGAGTTCAAATTCTGTGGATAAGTTGTCTGCAACTTAAAGAATTAAAGTAAAATATAACTTTCACAGGCAAATAATTTGGATAACCACTCAAAAATAAACTTTGGTGCATTGCAAATTGGGAATTTCCATCAGCTCTCTGCTTGGCGCTTACCAAATACAAAGGCATTCAAAATTAATATTTATTTTTGTCGCAGGTTCGATCCCCCTTAATCCATGTATCCCGCCACACTAAACATGCTTGTATATTTGTATTCAATTTTTCTTGTTCATATTTTTTGCGATTAATACCTATACTCATAGTGAAAATACCTAAAAGCAATGTGAGTACACGAGTATACGAGTATATGTATATGAGCCAATGTACTCCCTACTCCTCTGCCGATTAAGAGTTGTGCAGCGCTCGTGCAGGTGCTTGTTGTGGAATTAAAATTGATGAACTATATTGTGTTTAGTTTAAACGATGCTTCAGTGCTGCTCCATTGCTTGCGTTTGGTGTTGCCGTTGGGTGCCAATTTTTCGGGGGTTCAAAGGCATAAAGTATAATTTTATAAGTGGACACAAGTAGTATTTACATTGTAAGTACTTTTCACTATTTCCAAATTGCTTACAGAAGTGGGAGCTTATTCACAGAACAGACTGAAAAATTTAATAAGTTAAGATATTCATAAATACACATAATAATATGGATGTTAATTTCAAAGGTCAAGATTCCTTTTAGAATACATAAGTGAAACATGTGAAAAATTAAGTCAAATTTTATATTAAAACAAATGAAGCAAAGCTCGTTTCGAAGCTCATGTTTAAAAGCTCGCATTTATTCGCCGTCATACAGTGTTTTTTCAGGCTTATTTTGCTTAATGTGTTTATTTAAGAATCTTAACATTTCTTTCTTTGCAGGATTGAAGTTGACCCAGAAATTACCAAACCATTGAACTTGGCTAACTCAGCTGTTTTGCGGGCCGTTGAAGAAGAAGAGCAGATGAAAAGCGGTAAGTCTATCTCTTTTGTTATTTGCTTTTTGTTTGGGTTTTTGTGTAAGAAACGTTGCAAAAAATGTGCCATCTTAAACCTATGTTACCTTTATTCAAAAAATGTACATTATTGTTACTCATGTGACAGTCTACATAAACCTTTCAAAATAATGTAGCGGTAAAAAATGTAAAATAGCGGTTTTTGATTTAAATAAGGTGAATACACATCTCAATCAAGAACAGTTCTTCAAAAACTAGGAGTTTATGAAAATTATACTATATAACAATGAGTTGTTGGCGGGTTCGGGCACTTTTATATACTATCTATATGTGCCGTAAATCACTTTTCCTTTAATTGCATTTTAATAATCGGTTGCACCCGAGCTTTGCTATTGCTTACCTTTCCATATAATTTTTAAAGTAGCCCGTAATTCTCGAAAACGCCGATAATTTACACTCAACACAAAAACCAAAAGGCATTATTTATGGCGAGAGGAAAGTTGGTCTGCCAGCAAAGCGAACCGCCAACAAAAACCATGCAAATAGCTAATTCCCGACTAAATTGGAGCAACTCGCAGCTAACAACTGCAAACAAACTCCGAAAAACTTCGATAAACACTGTAACTACACGGCCGAAAGTTGTACATAAATGGTGTTGAACAAAGGCAAAATAAAACAAGCAAGGGAGCGCTAAGGTTGGGCGCAGCCGAATACTAGATACTCTTCCAATTTGAACAAATTATAGGCGCATTGGTGGTCGCGCTATGTCTGCTTTATTATATTTTTAAAATTTTTAATGTTAACATACATTCCGACGCTGGTTGTTGTTGCCCAATAACCATTTTACATGTTTTAAACTGATAGACTCCTAAGCCTTCTTTATGAAGGTTGCTAGTATTAGAGAGCTATGGAACATGTGTACCAACTTTCATGAAGATTTTTCAATTTTAACACAAGCTTATCAAGTAAGGTGACAAAAATATTACACCTTCTGCAACACTTTGCAAGCGTATAAACAAAAGGTTGTGGACATATGAGAGAAACGTCGCGAATTTTGTATTGCAACAGTATTTAATGGACTTCTAGGCTGGCTCATCTGGCAGAAGCTTGCGGAGAAGCTAAATTACTATAGTGGCGTCCTTCCTGGTTGTGGCCCAATGAACTGGGGTTGGCTCACTAAGTAACTTGGCCATTTCGCAGTCAAGTTGATCGCTGCCGAGCAAGGCCGTGGCAAAGCGGCGAACGCACGAAGCGAACTTGCGCAAACTTCAAAGTTTCTAATTGTTAAACTCGCACGTTTATCACAGCCAAAAGCGCATATGCAGCCAGCATTGGAACACGCCGTACGCACACACACCTCTCACACACTCTGGCTGCAGTTAATCGTTCAAAAAATGCCTCAGCAACTTTGTTTAGAGTAAAGCAGCACGCTGCAAAATACAGCTAACTGTTTATGTGTGGCATGCCTAGTGTACTCATCTAACCATACGCTCGCCGACTTCCACCCCCTCACTCGCTTGTCGAACTAGCCAAAGTTGGGCAGCGGCCGGCGAAGTTTTGCGCTGAATGCAAAAAGTTTCCAACTGCTATGCAGCTAAAAAGAAATACTAAATGGGCGAGGGTGGGAGAGGAGAATGAGCTAGTTTGCCAAAGCCTAGTAGAGCTTGCAAGCAAGTAACTAAACTTAGTTTGCAACAATAGTCGTTCGTGGACTCATAGGCTATCTACTTCCCTTGTTATTAGCTTATATTTTTGTTGTCTTACGGATTCACTAAGTTCAAAGGGAAATCATATGAGCCCGTATGTTTAGTTTGCTTTCGCCTTAAAACCATGTTGACGTAAAGCAAAGAATTTGTAGAGTAGGGAGCAATTGGTTGCCAACGCTGACACTTAAATTCCTTTCGAACAGAATAACCCACAAATACAGGAAAATATCTTTAATCAAAGTGAACAAAACGCCATAATTTCTTTACAGTTTTAGTTTTTTCGATGGACCAATTATTCAAATTGCTTATGGGGAGCTAGCTAATGCCTTGGCTAGCCTTAAAGTACTCCATTAAATTACCCCAGTTTCCAAAAACCTATTTCCAGAATTATTTGCTCACCTGTACGTTAATATTCCGGTTTGTTGATCGTTCATAAGCCACCCTGCGTTCATGCATAGGCTTCTCTTTTTAGACTAAGCTAGGCTTTCTGCATATATGGGCCTGTGTAGTAGCCAACAAGTGATTGTGAGAAAGATCATCTAACCATATTTAAAAAAAATCAGTTGTAGCCAAGAGCTCTCGCCAGAGTCGTAATTTAGGTAAAACTGCATCACCCTGTATAACGGAAGAAGTGTTGTCTTCCTTTTAGTACGAATATTAATTCGGTGAAACTTATTTGCAGCCTTGCAGGGCAAAGCAGTAGAACAGCTAATTTTATTTTTCTTGCAACTTTAATGGTTCACCAGATGGATGCAGACACACATGCGTGCTTGTAAATAAATATGTACATATACATGTACAAGTGAGAACTGCGAGCGTGCAAATAAATTTTAATTAAACTCAAATGGCTTGAAAGATCCATGAGAGTGTTGCTGTTCAATTAAGTTTTTCACTTGTATAAGCATTGACAAATACAAAAACAACAACGAAGCTACGACAAAGTGCGAAGTAAAGAACTCTGGTGAATGTCTTTGCTTCACAGCCAATTAGTTGAGCGGTGGGTATAAGGTGGTAAGTATAGGAAATTGCTTACTCACAATTTCCTAATTGATTGCGCACTTCGAGAGCAAGTATGGTAAAAACTTTTTAGCTTTACAGTCCCAAAGGTTGCTGCTCTTGCAGTACTAGGGGCGCTGCAATGGCAACACTTCGCTTTACGAAAATCCGCTTTTAACCGCTCCCTTATGTTTGATGCTAGATTTGACTTCTTTGTCATCTTTTTCAAAACTAATGTTTATTTGTTAAGCTAACCAAGGTTATGCGCTACATACCGAGTTGCCCAGTGAAATATTCTTGTCACATCGCAGTACACCGACGGCAATAGGTTCGAAATGTGACATGTGACTTGCATATGCATATGTGTATGAGTGTTTGTGCAAAAAACTTTTAATATTTAATAAATTAATAATTTTCCATTTTGCTGAGCAACAGGCTAATATGAGCATTATGAATAAAGTGTAAGCCTGTTGTAAGCTTACAACATAATAAATACCGTAATGTGTGTAAGCTCCACTGAATTTGTAATTTATGCAAATGAAATGGTGATTTAAAGCCAAAACAACAACGAAACAACACTACCACACTCGGAAACAGCACGACCGTCATAGCAACAAATCATAGCACACACAAACCCACACACCCACCAACACACATATACATACATTCGAACGGATTGCGTATTGATGATAAGTGTGTATGTGTGCCGTTCGGCACGTGCCTTTGCGACAAAATTTATTATTTGCCAAATTACTTCATAATAAGGCGCAAAGCACAAACATGTTTGCATTTAAAGTAACAACAAATACTACAGTTACTGGTATTACGAATGTACTTATACAAGCGATGTTCAATGTCGGGGCATGTGCTGCACAAGAGAGCTGCTGTAAGCACTATTTGCACAACCTCACTCCCAATTATAGACAAATAAATACATGTATGCAAATGTGTGTAGGTATGCTTGTGTGTGTATGTAAATTTGTATGTTGGGATATACAGGGCGTATGAGTAATTTGCATTTGGATCTAATGAGCCTGGCGATATCTGTATGCATGGGAATGTGCAGTTGCTCATTTTCATTGAATATGTACTTGTATGTGCGTACATATGCACACGTTCTCGTGAGTATGGAAACAAATGAAATTTTCGCACGTCGCTCATTTATTATTACACTCGCACACCGATATTACTTATTTTGATTGATTGAAAACTTATTTACTTATTTATAAGCTTAGATAAGCACTTAATTTCCTAAGCTTTATTTGCTGTATATTTTGCAACAATTCTTGATTTCTAAATTACAAAATCATTTCGGGAATTTAATTGCAACTTTCGTGCCAGCTGGAGTTGAATTAGAGCAATTTCCATAATTAATGCCAATGTCTCCCGCTATCGGCAGCCTCAATTAGCTCACTGTCTCCACAACACATGACCAGCAGTGGCCCTTCGATCCCAGCGAAGCTTCTTGAGACCACCTAAAAATTACGGCACGGCTTTGACAGGCGTTTGAGTTGACCGAAAGTTATTGGACCCATATCTGTCTTTTACCATACACTGTGGATCAGTTGTCACGTAAAAAAAGACACCTAGCCTTAAACTAGCCGGATGTTTTAAAATAAACGGATTCCACTGTATTTAGCTCTTCGTATTCAACTCGTGAAAAAGTCAGACCAATAATTCCATAATGCAATCGCTTTTGTTGGAAATGTTGTTGCCATGAAGCACACCACTGTTGCAAACAAGGCAAGTGTTTATGTGATAACAGGGCTTATCTGTGGTGGCCATTTCATTCTCTCTACTGCTGCCACAACTCTTTAATATCTTGTGCACTTAAACTGCACCATATTTAGTGCAAGTGGCTATTCAGTAACTAGCCCCACTATGGCATTCCGACCCAGAAGATCCAGGTCCATGTGTTTGCTTATATGTATATCTCGAAAGCCTCACATTGTATTAGCACTTAACTACAGCCAAACTGCAAACTTCAGCCACTCATTGCTACTCTACAGCCATGCATGCTACGATACTTAAGTCCTCCACGCTCTGCAACACACGAGCTCAGCTTATACGCATACGTTTTGCCAGAGTGCTGATAGCTTAAATAGCAAGCTAGCTTATTAAAAGACGCTTGACTCTTCGGCAAGTGGAGTGACTTTGGTGATGGTTTGTGTTGCAAGTAAACAATAACTTGAATAAGTGTGCTTACTATATGCATATCCACATATCTGTGCCACCAGACGTACAAACACATACGTGAAGATGTGTGTTTGTGATTGTTTGCTCATATCTCCTCAATCGCACATGGTCCACAAAATATGGCTACATACGAGTGCATACAAGAGCCTTTGTCGCAGATACCCCGGATATGCACATTGACCTCGCTCATAAAAACAACGGTAACAAGCCCACAAACCCAGAGCAAAATTGAAACGAACCTATTTCAAGCAAAGGTGAATTGAAGAATATTTAACAATAACTGAAAGTTCTCCTTTTAAAAAGTGTTATTCTTGTCGCGAAATAGAAATCTCGGGACTAGAAATGACACGAAGTGGAAATAATATTATTTTTGTGTAGAATACGAACTCAGATATTTCTAAGAAATTTCCGGCCACGCCACTGCTTATTGCGGACGAGGCGCTTAATAGAACCTCTTAGTAAATAATTTTAATTTATTGTGTTACGTAACACTTATTTGTATACATTTGCTGACGATATATGTACGTGTGTAAAGCATCGTTCGAGAAGTGCTGGAGTCAGAGAAGTTTTAAGCTCTTGCTATGCTTGCCATGTTGGTGAAGACATACATATGTGTGCGTGCATGTGTATTTGTTCAATATTACCACCATATTTCAAGTTCAACAAGCTTTCGGCGTCATACATTGTTAGTTCCTTAAACATGGGAATACAATAATATACTCTAACAAGTACACATCTGGACACAGTGTAAGGCCTAAATGACTTGAGCTCTCACAGAATCTGGACAAGCAATACATGCCGTAATATTAAAACAAGACGCCAAATACAGATAAGCACTCGTTGCAGTCTGTCCATATGACTGTCTTTAAATAATAGAATTCATGAAATAACACCATTCAAAGCCTAAAGTATAACAAGTAAGGAAGGGATAAGTTTGGGTGTAACCGATCATTTTATACTCTTGCAACTTGCAAGAATTAAAAGAGGCTAAATAGGAGGCTAAATTCAATATACTGACAATAGAACAAACAAAGGATGAAACTTCAAAATATATGAAGGATATGAGGTTTATATCAAGGTTTACACCCAATCTTTACATATTCAGCGCTAAATCATTAATACAATTTTATAGTTTCTAAGGAAACTTGTTCACTTAATTTGATTAAAATATCACAGATTTTGATCAACTTAAACTTATAAGGAGTAAAGTCAGCCGGATGTTGGAAAATCCTGACTTTAGTTTTATAGGGCTAGGGCAAGTTTTCACTCGACTTTATCCATTTTAGGCATGCATATGCGATGTTATTAGAAAAACACGCTGCCATAATTTAATTAAGCACACTCACAAATTGGCCGATATATGCGGTATAAAGTCAACAAAAAGTTCGAAAATATTTCTTTAAGATATATGGGGCAATCCATTTTTGACATGCAGACATAATATTATCAGGGGCTTGAAAAGTTATGGCTCGATTTTGACATTTTTTGGACTTAAAATTACCTTTCTTGAAGGCTCTCTCTCAAATTTTTATTTCAATATATTCATTAATTAATGTGAAGTCAAAAAAATCAGATGGAATTTAAATTTGTGTTGTATAGTAGGTAGGCGTGATTTTAATCCGATTTCGCCCATTTTTGCACTATGTGATTGGTATGTGAGGATAATGTTCCTTACCAAATTGGTCGTTTAGATCCCGAGATATGGGTTTCCACCTAAAGGTGGGCGGTACTACGCCCATTGACAATTTTTGTATCGGGTCCGATAAAGCTTAATAGTAGCATCCTGTGTGTCTCTGACTTATTTAGTTAATGAGTTATCGTACTTTTAGTACGATATACTATAGTATCATATCCGATTAGTTAATCCTCTTTAAAAAGGCAGCAAGAAGTTCATATGTGAAAATGCTTTGCTACATAATTTTAATCCTATATTTAGGTTCAATTTTAGCAACTCTCCCAAGTATTGGCATATGATATACCGTTTTAGAAGCCCGGTATAATATAGGATTCTTCAGAGTAATAGATACACATAAATGTCTAATTTTTGCTTGTTTGAAATGGACAAATACATAATTGAAATGCTAAGTGATACGGTAATTTTCCACCACTGTTCAGCTTTCAAAGCATAGGGAAATGTGTCTTTATAAAATTTTTATATATCATTATGTATATACAAATACTTTGCTAAAAATTATCAAAAAACTATTTGATTCGCTGAGTCACAGCGGGCAACTATTTTTAAAAATTAGGTGATGTAGATATCCCCTTTTGAGTACACAACAAGAGTCTAACAAACACACTAACAACACTCACACATGTTCTCCTTACTTTCCCACACTTTCAAAAAAGCACCGAATCAGTATTCCTAATAATGTCTAATATTTGAATATATTTTCACTTAGTTTATATAGTGTGAATTTGTTGCTGTACTAAATGTTCGGTAGCAGTGTACATATAGCAACACTTCGAAAATAGAAGAATAAATAAAAGACTTTGGCAGCTATTTTTAAGATATTCACCTTGCGCTACATAGTATAAGAGAGAGACGCGCCGCCATATGTGCATGTATGTAAATACCAATACGCACACACACCTAAATACCAAAAGATAAGCATCAAAATATTCTAACTGAAAGCCAACTAGGTAGAAAAACAGCAGACTTATACCAATTATAGAACGACGCGACACCGATACACCAATACAGTTGCTTGTATGGAAAAAGACTGTCGGCTAACTAATTGCGCTTGCGAAGCATACTGGCTGTAAAGCAGCTTATGACTAGTCGATTTGACTGCTGGGTATGTACATGTTTCATCAATATTTCAGCAAGCAAAGCAGCAGCTGGTCAAATTGAAAATAAAAAAAAATTAGAAACAACAATGACAAGTTGACATCATTGTAAGATTTTATGAAGATAGCTGCAATACCTCGTTTTTAAGATTCTATTATCGAAGTACATATGTATGTGAAAATACAATGTCATCAAAGTCTGCAAAAATACACGAGGCAATTTTATCCACTTTAACCATAATTATATACACAATCGAAAGAAATATGGCATATGAAATTGCCAGATGTGTTGGGCTGGCTCACAAAAAGGGAATCCAAAAAATTGTTCAACTTTAACTAACTTCTTGGAAACTCCTCTTAGTAGTCTTCCACTCTTACACTCACTCACTATCCGTGGACTATACTGAATGGAATACAATGATCTCTTATAAACAAATATGTATATCTTGAGTCCCTTGAACGTTGACTTGTATTTTGTACATGATTTACTGGATTTTTAGGATTTGAATTTCTACTTTTTAACCTCCTACCGGAGGATTGTGAAAATCACCAATCATCGTATCTTCATAATATTTTATGTTCTCACAATTTTTTTATTTATGAATTATGCGCGTGTTGCAGATTGTTGTTGTACTCGAGCTGTGTTGCTAAGTATCGCTATCCATCTGTCGGAAATATTATAACAATACTCTGAAACATGTGTATGTGTACGTGTGCCTGTGAGTAAAATTCCAAAACCCCAGATGGTCAAAAAAATATCCCCGCCAGCAATTTTCAATGTTAATTGTGCAATTTGTCACAATAGAAAGCAAAATATTAATGCAAATCTATTTTTGTGTGTGTTTGTCCTTCGAAAACATCAATTTCGACCGCAACTTAACGGAAAATAACAAATATTCAAATCAAACGGTAACAATCAACTACAAATGGCCAACTATAATGACTGACATCGTCAAAAACTCAAAAAAAATTATCTATATGAACTTGCAACACGCTCGCTTCTAACAGATGTTGCTTGTGAACGGAAAAGTCGCCCGCGGCAGCGCAGGCCACACCCTACAGCGTCTGAGTACTATGAACAGTACTATGACCAAGCCATGCACACACCGGTGCACCAGCAGCAGTTGGAGCAAATCAAAACGCAATACCTGTGCCATCAGCACGACATCACCATTGACCGTGATACGGTGTTGAAGATAAATCGCCTTGCCACACGCAGGAATTTGCATAAACGCGACCACAGCTGGCCGCCACCGTGCAGCGATTACGCTATGGGGGCTGAAACCATTGCTTCGAGCAGTAAGGCCAATGCGGAAGTGGGCCGTGGAACGCAATCACTCACACACTCACGTAGTTCTTCAAGAGAACAACAAAGCCAACAACTGCGACATGAACAGCAACTAAAGCAACAACAACAAGCCAAAAGCGGTTGTAACAACAATGCATTGCACTTCGCAGAGAGCGTTTGTAAGCAGCATGGCATCGATGCGATACGTGAGAAATTCAATAGTCCCACGCGAATAATTGAACCGACTCCCACCGAGTTGCGGCAACGCAATAAAATGGAGCAATTGCAGCTTCGAAAGCAAAAACTACAGAAAAATGCGACAAATAAATCAGCACGTGTCACCGATAGCTCCCCTGAGACGCGCACGAACATCTCTACTGATGGCGATGTTGGCAAGGCGCAACAAACATTGACAAATGTGAACAATAACACGACTAATACATCATCGGTCAATGCGGCTGTAGATTCTTTAGAGTCCACCATCGCGCTGAATGTGGCAGAAACCACCAGTTGGCCTGCAGCCATAAAAAATGATGAAAGGAGAGGGGATTTAACTAATATTGCCACCTCTACCAGCTTCGAAGCTTCACATGATTACAGTACGCCGGTGACGCGAGGATTCTCCGCACCCGAAACGAAAGCGGCCGATGAAAATATTGGATTGGTGGAGCCACGGCGCTATTATTTCGAACAATTGGCGCGCCGCATTGAAGGACCACCTAAAAAATGGCACAGTTATGACAATATTGTCGCAGCCACATCAGACCAACAACAAATCATCAAGGAAAGTGTTGCAACAGCAGCCATCAATAATAATAGACAATCACAGTCGCTAGATCGTGGACGCGTACAACAACAGCGTAGACGAGAACAATTGCCACCACTAAAACCTCGGTCAGCCGGCGGTGCGACCAGTGGTGGCAGTAGTCCCGCTGCGTGTATCACACCAGTCATCAGTACAAGCGAATTTAATGTAATGGCACTAAAAAGCGACAGCAGAGATTTTGGAGATGGTCGCACTGGCGGGGCAAAAACAACACTACTAACGAGCCATCCATCAAGATCGAGTGAAGGCATGTCACCGCGCGTACAGCGGCGTGCCATTAAATTGGCAACCGAAATAAAAATATGTTACGATGACTCGGGCACTGTCCAATCATTCAATTCAACTGCTGCGAACTTTGATCATAACGGAGGCACGGTTTCCAGTAATAAGCGACAAATTCAAACTGAAGCTACTAAAGCAGGAAAGCTTCAAAGGAGTAACGTTAAAAAACTGCCAGCAGAGCCAGTTTGCACACAGTCTATAAGTGACCTGGAACACATACCACTGCCGCTGCCACCAAAAGTAGAAAATATCTCATCTACAAACGCAAAGCACATGGCATGTAGAAATACCACGGGTATCGGCTCGGAACGATCAATTGTGGTGCAACGATCCCAGAAACCGTCCAGCCAAACACAAAAGCAGCAACAACAAAGACAACATCGCCGCTGTAATAGCGAAAGAATCATACCCATCGAGCTAGAGAAGCACCCTGAACAACTTAAAGAAGTGACACGTCGCGATCTTAGCACCATTAGCGCGGATCAACTTTACGATGATGCTTGTATTTATTTGCGTTCAATTGATTTAGATGACCGAACTGTCGCATACATACCCGCCGCAATAACAATTGTACCCTCACCCCCTGAGGAAATGTTGCAACATGCGTCAGCTCATGGGCATCCGCAGACCTTCAAGGCAGGTATAGTTACTACGAGAAGAAGAGAACAGCCTCCGTCAACTACCAATCATTCATCGTCGCTAACTTTCGCTACCATGCCAAAAACAAATACTGAAAAATCTTCTGTAGATAGCTCTTCGAAACAGTCAATTGCTAGTGAGGCTATTAGTCGGAAGAGTAATAATAAAGTTTGTTGCAATGATGGCTATAAAATGAACGTGCCACCAACCGAACCCAATGAAGCTCATTGCAAAGAACCCACACATGCCATATATAACACCTCCAATATAAAATTGGATGCAGCAGAGCCAAAACACCAGCAGAAAGCGATGGAAAAAGCCAACGAAAATGAAGTTGCCAAAAGCAACAACCAAGTCGCTGCAGGACAACAGGGCCAGCAAAGAATACGCCCCAATCGGCCTCGCGGCATTTACTACACCGATGGTGAATACTTGTATGGGCCATTTGGTGAGATTCCTGACACTTTTGAAGCACACATTACACGAACAGTAAAAGTAGCACCAGAAGAGCCATCCAGATCCGCAGCTGCCACTGGTGACAGCAAACCAAATTGTGCTGATGGATATGAGTGGCAAATAAACAAGAAGGCAACGAATGCACAGCTGAAGGAGCAACAACAAAAGGGAGGTTGGGGCAATACAATAAACATGCAACACTCTCGGTCGCCACCTACAACAACGGTGGAGCCAACTAATGAAGGGCCAAGTCGAAATTCTGAACTAATGGAAGTGTCAGGAGCAGAACTGCAGGGGAAAAATTCTATCGAAATAGCAGCGCTCGAAACAAAATATGGACGCTTTCAGCAATCCATTGCCGAGCATCTGCGTCAAATTGACACCTACATGGAAAATGCAAAAGCCGCGCTAAATCGCAGTTTACCTCATTCACAACAAGCACACGAACAGGAAGATGGCAAAACCGTCCCCCCACGGCCAGAGAATTCACTGCGTCAGCCGAATGTATCACGGAAATCAGCTTCACAGAAAACCAAAACTCAACTGGAACAGTCTCAGCTATTGGACGAACAAGGCATCGAAGCCACGCTCACACCGGAGAGTCCCCTGCAAACTATAGCCCGTCAGTGGTTGCAACACAAACCGTTACACATTGTTAGTGGCACTGATGACAATCTATGTGAAATGGAAGCTCTTGTGCATCCTGCCATGCTGGAAAATATGCCTGTGGTTGAACAGGCTCTGCAGGATTTGTCCGCTATTAAGGTAGATGGTACAGCAGCAAATCTGACGGCCAAGTATATGGGCGATTTAGGAAGTCGAAGCGGCGACGATGGCAGTGTATTACAGCCACTAATGCGTCGCCTGATTGCGGTGCAAAGTAAACAGCCGAGCGCAGCACTCCCAGACCAAGCAGTCACTTTAAAGGATCGTAAAGATATCGAAGGATTGCTGCTGATTGAACACCATATTGCACCCACTGCAAGTTTAGCAAAACGTGTGACTATATTGGAAAACTTGGACGATGTCGCTGCTCCTCCTAGGCATAAGCCAAATAATATTGTCCTAATTGAAATGGAAGAAGGCAATAAGGAGTGTAATGTTAGCAACGAGATTGGAGCAGTAAATGACAAAATTGATGACAGCAGTAATTGCAAGCGCTTAACAGATAAGAGCAGTTTTAATGACATTGCTGAGCGGAAGAAAGCTCCAACAATGATTGGGATGCCTGCGGACAATAGAAACGGAAAAGTTAATATTACAAGCACGGATGATGAAGACGAAAATCAGAAGACGACTTCAGATATGGGCGATCGATTCGGTCACAAAATCAACTCGAAATTAGGCGCTAAATCAACAAGTACTTTCGATATAATTTCAACAGGTGAAGTCACCAACGAACATGTTATTGATGCTGTAGCCAATTATGAGCAACTAATGCAGTTGCAAGAAGACATGACGACAGCAGTGAATCCAAGGAAGCAAACACAAACACAAAAACAAGAATTTCAGAAGGTTTCACTCAATGGTCCAGACCTTTGTCCTGCAAAAACAACACCCGTACCCAGGCGACGTGCAACCACATTGTCAGGAGAAAAGCCTACAATATGCACAATTGGAACACGACCAGCATTCACAGTATCGGCAGGCGAAAGTAAAAACGAGCAACGTGAGACCCTTACTAGCCGCTGGCAAAATGAGTCCTTGCAACGACAGCAGTGCCAACAACAACAACCACAGTCGCCCTCATCTGAACCACCGCAACCTCCAACTCCACCAATACCGCCGCCACTGCCGCCACTTACCCGTGCGGGAAGCTTACCGAAAGATTTATGCAAAAGTGTGGTTTCTGGTTATATTTCCACTCATCAATCGCAGGAGCAGCTGGTGGGACAGGTGATTGACAAGCTGCAGGTAGATGTGGCGCAGCAAAGAGATTGCGAGCAACTAAAGCAAACAGAGCAGAATGAATTCGTAGCTGCAAGTGCTATCGAAACCTCAAATCAAGATCTTCTCAGAGACCCGTTAGTTGAGCAACGACAGCCAGCCGAAGAATTTGCAATGCAACAACTAAATCAACAGCAATCAGCAATTCTACCAATAACGGAGAGTAACCAAAAACCATGCGACCAACAGAATGCGCAATCAACTGAAATCACAATCCCACGCAGTAGGATTAACACGCACTCTGCAGAAGACACGAGAGCTGCTCACGGCATTGTTGCAGCGGCAGCATCACAGATGGCTGCACAGAAGGTGGTAACAGACGAATCCACAATAACGAGTTTAGCTTCAGACGGACTACACAGGCGTACGATTGCCGGGCGTCAAAGCAAATTAACGGTGCATATCAATGGAGACAATAAAAATTATCTTGTGTCGGACAGCACGGATAGTTTCGATACGTACAAAGCCACCTATGAAATACCTAGCCCCTGTTTTAAGCAGCAAATAATCTGGAAGCAAACAGTCAATGTGCCACAAACTAAAGACAATAAATTCGCCACTGCCTCGGAGCTAGGCAAACACATGGAAGATAACAATAATATGCATTTCGATGCAAAAGCCGGGGAGGCAGCAACTGCAAGCAATCAATCACTTACGACCAGGCTCCAGTTTGTCAAACAGCAATCAAGGACTCCCTCCCCAGCCGCTTTGAAAACACGTCTACAGCAATCTTCCGCAACTCAATGCTCACGCAGTCGGTCCAAAAGTCCATGCCCATCGCAAACCAGCCGCTCGCCCACGCGCAAATATCCCGCTGCATTAATTGAACCTAACGCACCGACCCGTGCCGCCTCACCATTCGGACTGAATCCGCTCGACATTACCGAACTGATTGATGACACTGCTCATGCGTACGATGGTGCAGATAGTGGCAATAGTGTGGGGATCTCCAAACCGACTTCGAGCGCTCAATTAGGCGACACCAAATTTGCCTGCACGCCTGCAACGTGTAGGCAGTTGGCCGAGTTTGTGCCACAGGTGGAAGGTCACAATGTTGGTTTATTGGTGCGTGCATGTATCGATGCACAATCACAGCAGCAGAGGGAAAGAAAAGTGCAGAGTATGCCCCAAACCATCACCGCGCAATGCAACGAAAAGGCGCAAATTGAAATGGACAATGCACTCACGCACAGCGCCGCCACGCGTTATGTTGATGCCGATGCTAGTGCCAATTATGGTGACGACGACGGTGATGATGTTGACTACTGCGTCGACGAGCGGCAAAAGCATATCGCTTATGGTGACAAACACTCAATAAAAGGTCCTTCGCCAGCGGTCCCTTTAACACCATCACCATCCTCAGCGTACTGTGCACGTGCTGGCAGGTTGCAACCAAGGATGACCGAGATGGTGCATGACGCCTGCCGTAACGTAACGATGACGACACCCCTTGATATACACGAACACAGAACACCAAAAAATATACAAACATGCTCGATGGCAGGCAGCATTGTTGCTGATTCAAACGCCACCGCGGCCGGGATGGGAGAATCACATTCTCTGTCTGAGAGCCAGCGGGGACACCGCCGCGAAGCGCAGCAACAGGAAGTTGTCCTGGACAACGACAGCCGGCAGCATAGCCTAGATACCGTTGGTGAACCCGCAGTCGCACTGCCACGTGAGAGTGGCATAATTAATCGCTCGTTCAATAATGTTTCACCGCGTCCCTACATCAGCGTCGAAGGTATGTGCGGCTGGTATTACATGTGGAAATATTATCTTGTGTTTTTGTGCGCTTGTGTTGTCAAGTAGGAGTACATACGTGTTGGCTATAATATGCGGCACGTGTCGATGTGTCGTGTGTTACACGTGATATTGAAAGGATGGCGAATTTCTGTGCAACTGTTTGTTTGTAACTAAATTATCGCTAAGAATCCGGTTACTAAAGTCCGATTACTTACGATTGCATTTCCTTGAAGGTATGTAAACATACATACGAGTATGTGAATTTTATGAAATTTAGTTTTGTTATTCTGCCCCCAACAATTACTGATCGCATCCATGACGGTCGAAAATTAATTCCATTTTATCGGCAACATTCTGGGAAGACGTTTCTTAGAGTAGGGGTTTCAACTTAAATCGACGCTCTAGCATTGTCAGTAGGGAGACGAAATTACTCTGCTGCAGTGTCAAACCCTGTGTAGAGTAGTTTCAATGTCAAGATTTCCTTATTAAAAATTATTCAGAAAATTTATACTTGGTAGTTCTTCTCATAATGGAGGTGTTCACATATAAAGCCTCTTACCTTTTTAAAAGCAGGGCAAGTAACACCCTTCCTTACAACGATTTCAATTTACTTGTTTTCAGCTAAATTCGCGTAATAAGAAATTATTCACAAAACTTTTAGCAATCAATCAAAGAAGGAAATATGTGAAAACTTCTATCTAGTTGCATTTTTTGGTTCACAAATACGCGAACAGAGCAGCCAACGAGCGAATCTTGAGCAACCACATCTACTTGTAAAATATCCACGTGAATTACTCATTTGCATAGAGTGAATAATGATTTAATCCCAAACTGAATGGAACAGTTCTGACAACAGTCAAAATAATTTTTGTGTAATGATTAATACAACACAAAACCGGTTGTGAGTTGTGATAAAAGAGAAAAAACCATAAACCATAAAAATATATGGTATATATATTTCTATGTGTTATACCCTAGATGCCAACAGACACTCACTGAGGCGTATGTAAGCAAGACAGGCGAGGCGAGACAGGCGTTGCATGAGAAGATAATAATTCATGCGCCGACAGGATGAAATTAATTAACATGATATGCTAATGAAATTTTAATATCTCCGCTACATTTTGCTCACAAAGTTCCGTTTTCGCGGTAACGCATAGTCTCGCCTAAGCCGTTAAGCATCGTGTTGGCGGAAATTGTAAGTCGCAGCTTTCATAAAAAGCATGAACCTTTCTCAAATTTTTAAGACATTTACGCACACACAAGCCCACAAACCCCAGTGGCTTTTTATATTTGTATGCATCACATAAATACTGTCAAATGAGCCATTTAACGGTTCTGCTGAAATGGGTCTTGCTTATCATCGTCATATGATGGATATACAAAAATACGAAAGCTGTCATTTTTCGCCGACAGCGCAGATACAGTTAATACGAAAATGGTAACTTTTCTATTAATCTGATAAAAATTTTACCAGAAACACTAAGAAAGCGAATGCCACAAACTGTAAATCAAGGTAAACTCAGGAATACCACAGTTATTGCGGAAAAAAACTCCCAGGTTATATAAGTCTCCGTAGATTGTGTGAAAATATTGTTTATATGATTCGAGTATATTGCCAATACCGATCAGTTTCATGACTCACTGAAGCAATAAAGCTCAAATAAGGAGAAAAAATCAAGGCAGAAAAATGTGCAATATTAAGCGTGTCGGCATCATTAAATGATATTAGAAGTTTTGTTGTTTCTATGTATTAGGTGTACATGTGGTCTTCCCTTTCCACTGCGCAAAACTCATAATAAATTATACCTAAGGTATCAACGAGACCATCGCGACGCGCCATCCTTTGTGGATGGTATCACCACTGCTGAGTCTAGCGCTCCCAAAGCATGACTGTTACTTACCGCAAGTTTCCTCTGCCTTCACCGTTATTTCCTATGCATCACGGCACACTCTGTGTCATAGAACTTCACACACGCTTTTAATTTCGACGCTTTATTAATTTAAAGCGAAACACATACAACGCACTCTTCTCGCTCAACATAGATAGCTACTTTATGCTATACTCGTGTGTAAAGTGAGAATATTTTTGTTGCCGCTGAGCAGGATGTCCTTATTGCTGTTGTTATTAATTTGGGTATTTATATTATATGTTTTGCTGTTGCTGCTGAGTTTACACTTTTTAATGCCAATGAAGATAAATCTTCTCTAATATTATATAATTACTAAAATGTTAGTATTCATTATATCCTGAATGGGCTTTATTAAGTTTGGCACGACGATTGTAACACCCTGAGGGAAACATCTGACACCCTATAAAATATCGATCTGAAATTTTGCACACGTTCTATTCTCCCCAAGAAGCTGTTATAGCTGCCATACAAACTAAACGACCGGAATGAAGTACTTGTATAGAAAACTTTTTTTATTTCACGAGATATATTCGCGAGATTTAGGAAGGATTATTGTCTAAGGCAATAAAGCAATATCAGAAGAAAATGTTCAGATCGGATAAATATAACATGTAGCTGTCATACAAACTGAACAATCAGAATCAAATTCTTGTAAGGAATATTTTGTGTTTGTAAAGGGTATCTACGGTGCAATCGAAGTTAATGGTTTTTCTTGTTGTATTTCCAATTATATTTGCCTTGAATATTTTGTTTCAATATTTGCAATATTATATTAAATGTAAGTATAATCAGCTGGTTTACAACTCTTCTCTTAATACATATGGGGTCTTATAACTATCATATTCCTTTAGTTCTGTACTAAGTCTGATACATAGAGTTTCGCAAAAGGAGCGCCGAGCATATTCAAATGCAACCATATCGTTCTACTAATGCCATTCCTAGCCTACATGTGTTTTAATTTATTAAAATAATGTCATCAATATTTTTATTTACGCCATATTGTCTGTTACTTCACCCATTTGGCAGGGCAAGGACAAGTTAGTCGAATTTCCACTTTTAGCTTTCAAATATTTTGTTTCATTAACATCATTTTTGTTTCACCCGTTTTGTGCTTCGCAGGCGGTACGTGTGTTGATGTGCATCCAGATACTTTGTAAGCGGCTTAAAAGCGCGCTTTTGTTCTTGTTTATTTTATGTCTTAAGTTTGCTTACATTTTGCCTTAACAACAGCCAGTCGGCCTACATTCGCTCTTCATCCTTTTTCGATTTGATGCGCAAGACAAATATTGGCATTCCTTTTCATTCGCAAACGCGAACCGTTCGAAGACAGGCACAGTGTGCTAAGAGACCTAAATGGAATCCTTTTTCTCTCAAAAGTATCGTCAGCACTTTTATAAACATTGGTTTTAATCAACCGGAGGAAGGGGTTTGGAACGGCATATTCTCCTTTGACTAAAACTCTTTAGCACCTGCATGCCAGAGAGTTTAAATATTTACCCCGAGTGGGATGGGGATGCTGTAAAGCTGCGGTTGCGGGGCTAATCGCTGCTGAGTATTTTATAAGGTGATTAGCGTTGAGCTATTTACACATCGGCTAATTATTATTTATGGAAGTTTTTAATTACGAAAAGGTGCAGTTTTTATCAATGCTGATGCTTGCTTAGATTTGTTTTACGCTTTTACCAACATATTAATTGAAAATCATACAGTTGTTTACCCTATTTGATGGAAAATTTACGTTAAGTTCATTTCAATGGCATGAAGCGCTTCTGCGGCAGTCCACATAAAAAACCGCAAGCCCATAACGGTGTGAGTCGAAACTATAAAATCAACATTTTTCATCGGTTTGTTGCAATTTAATAAATGTGATTTCTTACTGTCACAAGCAGCAAGTGATACATTTTCATTACAATGGGCCTCGACATCGCGCTGCCTGCACGTAAGCGATACGAACAATGCGAATGAATGTGGACACATTTGTGCAGTCATGTTTAATGCCCACGTAGATTAAATTATAGCCGTATAAATACAAGTAGAAAGCGTCTGCTTAGCTGGGCAACCCGCTAATTTTTACATCATTCAATTATAAATCGCCACAGTGCTAAATACTCTATGTGTTGTAAACATGAATTCAAAAAATACAAAAATTTGTAATATTCTTCATGAATTGTTTTTCTATGAAATGCAAATCCTTTAAATAACTAAATATTTAACGAAAATAATGCAAAGCATTTTATATTTAGCTGACAAAGCAGAGCGTGTTCGTGTGCACATTGCTGTATGTTTATAAATACATGTTGGTCAAGCTGCTTATTCATTGGCGAATCCGCGACGAGGCCAAATAAAACGAATATATTTTCAGCTGTTGCTGCAGCTGTTTGAAAAGCGTTCGCGTGCAATTTTTTTGGTGCAAAAATTTTATGAAATGTAATCATAGCTCTAGCCTCAGGCGAAGCCTTTCTAAGTTCGACTAGTGACTGCCCAGCACAGCAGCTGTTAGTGGGTTGTGTGGTAGTGGGTATATTGATATATAAAATTTGCTCTATCTCTCTCCAATTTTCTCATTTCTTCTTTTGTAAAAATCTCGCTCCTTGAATAAAAAAGGTTCAGGAAAAGCAATATTTGCCACAGTAATTTTTGGTATTTTTGTTTCTTGACAATTAGGTTTTATACTTATTTAATATTTTATTAAACGAAATCTAAAACCAGAAAATTCAATATATCTTAAAGGCCTTAAGTAACACTCACCTATGGTATATTCAGAAAAACAGCATAAATTCGCATTATACCATACAGCATAACATGAAAATTGGAGTCATTATATCTTATTACAACTATTTAGATTATCAATGAACAAACAACTTAATTAATGACATACTTTCAAATGGCAAGCAAACATTAACTTTAACTTATAGGGGGGTAATAAGTTAAAATTAATTTCGAACCGACCTTACATCGATTAACTAACAGTACGATCTTAATATAATCGATGTAAATACTACAAAGTTGAATGTAAAATAGAAGAAACCCAATTAAATCAAACGTTCGAAATACATCCATTTAGCTTTGACCTCGTTTTCAAAAT